GTAAACTGAAAGTAAATTAATGGAAATCATGTTTAAACTGGATTAATAGATGTGCGTAGTTCTTAGCTTGCCATCGCTTCCCGAAAACTATTATTGATGAAATATATTTTATATTTCGAAATTTTTGATGAAATATTTATAAGATATTTTTTTAAATAGCAAAAATTTAAAAAACAAAATTTGGAAAGCGATGCCAATTACCAGGTCTCACCCACGAGGAGGTGACTACGCATCGAGACCCACCTGAAAAAAACAAAATACAAAATAACAATAAAATTTATATTACAAAAAGTAGATATATAAAAGTATATATATATATATATATATTAATTTAATACATAATAAAAATTAAAAATTAAATAAAATTCAAAATTAAAAATAAAAATAAAAAAAAATAAAATAAAATAAAATAAAATAAATAAAATAAAAAATAAATAAAATAAATAAAATGAATAAATTAAAAAAAAATTAATAAATAAATAAAAATGCAAACAATAAGACAATGATAATTAAAATATGAAATAAATAAAATGAATAACATATAATTAACAATAAAGTTATTCTGATATTATAAAAATATTTAATGTAATTTAGAATAAATAATATTAATACTATAAATAAATGATCGAAAATTCAGTTAAATTTAGTTAAAATGTTATAATATCGATGTTACCGTCACGAAGGTTCGTTTATAGGACGTCTCGTATTTATAGGACGCGACAATCCAAGTTTAACGAAAATATAATATCGAAATTAATTTCTTAAATATAATGATTGATAATTTATCAATTTTTATTCAATTTCTTTATATTTATTGTTTATTTATGATCCGAATAATTTATTATTATCATATACAAAATGATATATTTTTTAAAATTAAAAACAGCAATTGTTTCTGCGATATATTATTTCTTTATTCCTTTATCTATTCATTTATTTATTGATTTTATTGATTATTATTATTATTTATTAAATTTTCATTTATTCATTTTTTATTTATTTCATATTTATTTACTATATACTCACTCATTTATTCATTTATGATATATGGTTTTTATTTACTCAACTATTTATTTTTTTATTCATATAATTTTTTGCTTATATAATAATTTTTTATTCCATTATTTATACATATATATAGCTTTGCAAAACGTTCAATCTTTGATCGTTGTGCAAAACAAAAAACAAAAGAAATTCTAAGGAAAACCGAAGCGCCAAGCTAAATCTGAAAATAAAAATTAAATTAATTGTACATAACTCTACTTGAAACACAAACATATTATTTCTAAGATATATCAATATTTTATGACATTTTTATCAGATAAATGACAATAAATGTATAAAATATTGATAATTACGAGGTTTAAAGTAAAAAATTAATAAATAAATAAAAATAAAAATAAAAATAAAATGTATTTCACACAGAGTTATATTTATTTTTTGATAATCATCATTTTTAACATTACTATTCCCACTATTATTACCATGCATACATTTTTTAATTTATATTCTACTTTAAGCATTTCTAAAGCAGCAATTTTACAAGCAATCTACTTCCTACATTCTAAAACGTTTAGAAAGATTTTCATTTAAAAAAAATTTCATGAATTAATCAAATTTAAAAATATTCTAAATGTAAACGTAAATTAATATGAACTTTAAGGAACATTGATCTAAAATAGTTTCATACAAATTCACGATATTTTTCGGTCCCTAATTATACATTTAAATATTTATTTTAATTCTTGTTAACTATACGACAAAAATATAATAAAAACATAAATAATTAATAAAATTATACTTCTCGTATAATTATTTATTGATCGATGATAGATTCAAATATAACATTTTCTTGAAATATATAAGTGACGTTGTCCGAGAGATAATATATCTGAAACAAACTTATAACTTATATAAATTTATTTAAAAGATTTCTACAATAAGAAAAAAAAAACAATCGAAACATTCATGTATAAAATAATATAAAAAAAAAAAATAACTTTTATAATGTACATTTACCATTATGGATCTCGAAAAATTTAATACAAAAAAATTTAAATTCAATATTTTAAGAAACATTAATTACTCACCAATGAAAAATATAATACCACAAAAATATAAATACCATAGCAATATTTTTTGCAATAAATGCAAAAGATAATAACGAAGGCTGAAAAAACAAAACATAGTATATGCAATTAGTAGTCAGAAGAACTACTAAAATAAAAGTATTTTCCACTCGATATAAACCCGAGCAACAAAACCGCGAGTGGAATATTCAATTTGCATCGCAACACTAATAAACTAACATTCCTTTATAAAATTAAAAATTTCTTAAATCAACCGCGATGAGTGCTTTATTATATTTGCAATGATAATTAATCTATAGTGACAAAAAAAATCATTAAAAAAAACCGATTATTTACTTCAAATCAATTACTTATACAATAGTATTCTAGGCACTCAAATTTAAATAACGCAACACTAATTTCGAAAAATCAAGTGCAGTCTCTTTGACTGCTATCGTATAATCATCCGAGTAACTTTTCTAGCCACTCAAGATGATACAGAAACATGAGTACTTCCACAATTCCAGTGGAAGAAATTTGGGCATTCAATATTCGCAACACTACTTGAATAAACGCGATTATTTATCAACGCAACACTACTTTTAGAAATGAATTCTATC